GTGGGTACATTTTTAAATTATTAATTTATCTTTTGGATATCATCAGATTTTTCTATTTTTCTCAAATATTTTATGTCTGCCTAGGCATTTGTCCAACCAACTTGACTAATTTGGTTACATAAAGTTATTCATAATGTTCTCTACATCTTTCAGTTGTTTAAAATTAAGTACGTGTGTGTGTGTGTGTGTGTGTGTGTGTGTGTGTGTGTGTGTGTTTGGGGGTATAAGCCCGTTAGTGTAGGTGCTCCGGAAACCAGAAGCATCAGATCCCCTTGGGAAGTGGAGTTACAGGCAGTTGCGAACCTCCTTATGGGGTGCTGGGACATGAATTTGGGTCCTCTGCAAGAGCAATTTGTGCTATTAAACTGCTGAGCCATCTGTGCTGGATAGCTTTAGTGTCAACTTGACACACCTGTGTTGAGGGAGCCTCAATTGGGGAATTACCTCCATTGAACTGGCCTGTGGCCATGTCTGTGAGGCATCTTCTTGATTGTTTGTGTGATGTGGGAGGGCCCAGCCCACTGTGGATGGTGCCACCCCCGGGCAGGTGGGCCTGTGTTGCATAAGAAAGCAGGCTGAGCAGGGGCCAGGGGAGCAAGTCAGTAAGCAGTGATTCTTACCTTGAACTCCCTGATGAACTGTAACCCGAGAGATGTAAGCTGAATAAACCCTTTCCTCCCCAAGTTGGTAGTGGTCAGAGTATTTTGTTACAGCAATGAAGAGACAAACTAAAACACCATCTTTCCAGCCCCTGTTCTCTTTAATTTAAAAAAAATTTCTATAGGGTAGTTCTAGTTTAGAGAACCTTTAGTTCTTTTTTTTTTTTCTTAGTCTATTTAAATGTTCATCAATCTTGTCACTTGTTTCTAAGAACCTATTTTTGTTTCAGCTGTTTTCTATATTGCTTTCTGATGAGGCATTAACTGTTAAGCAAATGATTCTCTTCAGTCTTCTGTCTTTCAGAAGTTTGTCTATGATGTATATAAAATATGAATCTCATTGCGTTTATTCTACTTGTAGTATTGAGTTTTTTAAATATAGTAGACCAAAGTGTTTCATTAAATTTAGAAAGTTTGAACATTATTTTGTCAAAATACTATTGTTTGCCTCTTTGCCTCCTAGCAGTCTTACCTCATTCATGCTGGCGCTGCTAATTTTGTTCCATAGCTGTCTGAAGTTCTGTTCATCTTCAGTCTCTTTCACAATAGTCATTTGAAAGACTAGGGCCAGCGAGGTGGCTCAGTGGGTAATGGCACTTGTCTTCAAGCCTTGTGACCTATGTTGGATCCCTGGAACCCATAGTGGAAAGAAGTGACTCCACAATTGTCCTCTGATGTTCACACACACACACACACCATGGCACACATGCACATGGACATACACACATACATTCATAATTAATTAAATGGGAAAAAGACCCAAGACTGGGCTTTTTGTTTTCAAAAGCTGGACATTTTAGATATGTTAGTCATGAAGGAAACATTTCCATGTCTTTGTATTTCAGGAATCTCCTTTGTCTCAAAAGATCTTATATGTGGTCCCCATATTTCTTTTTCTCTTCACTTTTCAGCCTCCAGCAGATGCCCGCCCCATCCCTCTTATCTCCTACCTTCAGAGTGATGCCACTGAGCAGTGCCCCATATACATGTACTTGATCTTGAGTCTGTCTTGGGCCCCTTTTTCCTCTTCACTCTTCCATAGTTTTTCCAGACCTCACCCCACTCCTAGTTTTACTCTGTGCAAAGACTTCAAATGGGTTTTCAAGTAATACCTCTTCCAGAGTTGGACTTGATTTTTCTATTTAAGTCTGTAGAGTCTGTGTCTTCCTTGAAGGTTGAAGGTATTGGATTTAAGTATGTTCGTTTTTTGAAACAGTGGCTTAGAGTTTCTCTATGTAGCCTACAGTGTCCTTGAACTTGTGATCCTTCTGCCTCAGCCTCCCAAGTACTGGTATTTCAGGTGTGCACCACCACACCTGGCCCTATGATGTGTGTCAGTGAGGGGCGGGGAGTGTTTCTGAAACAAGGTCTCATGTATCCCAGACTGGTCTGGAACTCTCTATATAGCCAAGAATGCCCTTGAACTTTTGATCCTCCTACCTCTATCTCTCACGCCCTAGACTACAAGTATGCACCACCATGCCCAGAGTATTTGGTGCTAGGGTCAAACCCAGAGCTTCATGAATGCTAGGCAAGCATTCTCCCAACTGAGCTATATCCCTAGTCCCTATTGTATCTTTCTATGGTAGCATGTAAAAGTAGATTATTTCTCTAGCCAGGTGTGGTAGCACATGCTTTTAGTCCCAGCACTAGGGAGGCACAGCAGGCATAGCTCTGTGAGTTTGAGGCCAGCCTGGTCTACTTAGCAAGTTCCAAGCCAGCGAGTACTACGTAGTGAGACCCTGTCTTAAAAAAACTAAATAAATTGGGCTGGAGAGATGGCTCAGTAGTTAAGAGCACTGGCTGTTCTTGCAGAGGACCCGGGTTCGGTTCCCAGCAACCACATGGGCTAACAACCATCTTAACTCTAGTTCCAGGGGATTCAACATCCTCTTCTGACCTCCATGGGCATCGCACGACATGGGTGCACTCACATACATGCAGGTAGTACACTCATACACATAAAAATAATAAAATATTTTAAAATTTAATTAATTAAATTAAAAAGAGTAGATTATTTCTCTCTCCTTTGAGAGGCTGTAGATGAAAATACCTGGGTATTGGTGACTTTTGGAACTTGAAAGACTGGGTTCTAATTCTGTACCCGCTTCACTGTGCTTCGGTGTTCTCTACAAGTCGATAAAAATGACAGCTGCTTCATAGACTGTGTAGACTATATGTAAATAATTCTATTTTACAGCTAGATTACACAATTACACTATATACTCACAAGATTCTGCTGTAAAAAGAATGAAATTTTTAAAAATATTTTATTTTTATTTTATGTGTATGAGTGTGTTGCCCGGATGTATGTTTAAGTGCACCTGTATCACGCAGTACTCATGGAGGTCAGAAGAAGGCGTCGTATCACCCGGAACTAGAGTTACGGATGATTGTTAGCTGCCATATGGGTGCTGGGAACCAAACCGGGTCCTCTGCAAGAGCAGGCAGTGCTCTTAAACCGCTGAGCCAACCATCTCTCCAGCCCGAGAGGTGAAATTTTTGAGACTAACTGAAATGTTTATATTTTTAATTCCTTCCCGATTTATTATTTTGATCTTATTTATCATTTAATGTCTAATCTAGTCATAAACAAGCAAGAATGATTCAAGAAAGTACAAATTAAACCTGGTGTTTTCTTAGCATTTGAGAAGAATTAGAAAAATCTGCCTCCTTTTTAGTGTATTATTATTATTATTTTCTTTTGGGGTCTAAGAACTAGTCACCCCATAAAATAAAAAAATAAAAGCTAAAAATAAGAAATGGTGTCCTGGCCGAGATTGATTTTTAAAATTTATTTATCTTATGTGTGTGTTTTGCCTACGTGTGTAAGTGCACCTGTGTTGTGCAATGCCAGGGAGGTCAGAAGAGGATGTTGGATCCCCTGGAACTGGAGGTACTGTTGTTAGCCGTCAGTGGGTGCCGGGAACGGAACCGGGGTCATGTGAAGGACCAGCCGGTGCTCTTTACCGCTGAGCTGTCTCTCCGCCCCTCTTTGGATTAATTTGGTTTAATATTATATTGGGGGGACAGGTTTGACCCGGAGTAGCAGAAGAACCATTCCACTTTCTTTTGAAATTTCATATTGCTGCTAAAATTAGTCATTGTGAATTTCCCAAGTTGTTTAAATTGATCGATAGCTTCCAGGCTTGGTCGACGAAAACCGTAGTCTACCTCTTCATATTGTACACTGCAAACTGAGGGCGACCTCGATCTTGGCCTTGCTGTGAAAAGGTGTGCTGTGTCTGCAATTGTGTACAGAGGTTTTTTTTTTTTCTCCATTCAAGTTGTGTTTAAATTAATAAATGTAATTCGTGAAAGAAACTTTGTTTTAAGGAAGTGGCGCCCTGAGAAGATCTTGTTTTTTAAAGCTGCTTTGTTCGCTGAGGGGTTTGTCCTCCTCCTGTCCACCAGGTGGGAGTGCAGCCTTGTCTGCCTTCTTCTGGAGCGGCTCTCCGGGTCACGTGACTTAGAAAGGCCACGACAACACCGCATTCAAGAGCATGAAATGTTCCCTCAGCTACAATTTATAGCCGCGCATTTTAATCATTTACTCGAGGTTAATAAAAACAATAGACTGGACTGGATAAGGTTTCTTCCCACAGGTTCTTTTTGTTGAACTGTATTAAACGCCGACCCAGCATCAGAAGTCACCCACGTGGTTCTTACGATGGCTGGGAGGGCTGCAGAGACCTGTAACAAAATAACATCAGAGTGCTGATGTACAGCACAACCAACTGGGCTGGAGAGATGGCTCTGCTGTAAGAGCGCTTGCTGCTCTTCCAGAGGACCAGTTTGGTTCCCAGCATCGATATTG